ATTTTTTGGAACAGTTTCAGAAGAATAGGTATTAATTCTTCTTGAAATGTTTGGTAGAATTCCCCTGGGAAGCCATCTGGCCCTGGGCTTTTGTTTGTTGGGAGATTTTTGATGACTGCTTCAATTTCCTTAGTGGTTATAGGTCTGTTCAGGTTTTCTATTTCTTCCTGGTTCAGTTTTGGTAGTTGATACATCTCTAGGAATGTATCCATTTCTTCCAGGTTATCGAATTTGCTGGCATAGAGTTGCTCATAATATGTTCTTATAATTGTTTGTATTTCTTTGGTGTTGGTTGTGATCTCTCCTCTTTCATTCATGATTTTGTTGATTTGGGTCATTTCTCTTTTCTTTTTGATAAGTCTGGCCAGGGGTTTATCAATCTTGTTAATTCTTTCAAAGAACCAGCTCCTAGTTTCGTTGATCTGTTCTAGTGTTCTTTTGGTTTCTATCTCATTGATTTCTGCTCTGATTTTTATTATTTCTCTTCTCCTGCTGGGTTTAGGCTTTATTTGCTGTTCTTTCTCCAGCTCCTTTAGGTAGAGGGTTAGGTTGTGTACTTGAGACCTTTCTTGTTTCTTGAGAAAGGCTTGTATTGCTATATACTTTCCTCTTAGGACTGCCTTTGCTGCATCCCAAAGATTTTGAATAGTTGTGTTTTCATTTTCATTGGTTTCCATGTATTTTTTAAATTCTTCTTTAATTTCCTGGTTGACCCATTCATTCTTCAGTAGGATGCTCTTTAGCCTCCATGTATTTGAGTTCTTTCCGACTTTCCTCTTGTGATGGAGTTCTAGTTTCAAAGCATTGTGGTCTGAATATAGGCGGGGAATGATCCCAATCTTTTGGTACCGGTTGAGACCTGATTTATGACCTAGGATGTGATCGATTCTGGAGAATGCTCCATGGGGACTAGAGAAGAATGTGTATTCCGTTGCTTTGGGATGGAATGTTCTGAATATGTCTGTGAAGTCCATTTGGTCCAGTGTGTCATTTAAAGTCTTTATTTCCTTGTTGATCTTTTGCTTAAATGATCTGTCCATTTCAGTGAGGGGGTGTTAAAGTCCCCCACTATTATTGTATTGTTGTTGATGTGTTTCTTTGCTTTTGTTATTAATTGCCTTATATAATTGGCTGCTCCCATGTTAGGGGCATAGATATTTACAATTGTTAGATCTTCTTGTTGGATAGACCCTTTAAGTAGGATATAGTGTACTTCCTCATCTCTTATTACAGTCTTTGGTTTAAAATCTAATTTGTCTGATATAAGGATTGCCACCCCAGCTTTCTTTTGGTGTCCATGAGCATGGTAAATGGTTTTCCACCCCCTCACTTTCAATCTGGGGGTGTCTTTGGTTCTAAAATGGGTCTCTTGCAGACAGCATATCGATGGGTCTTGTTTTTTAATCCAATCTGATACCCTGTGTCTTTTGATTGGGGCATTTAGCCCATTTACATTCAGAGTAACTATTGAAAGATAGGAATTTAGTGCCATTGTATTGCCTGTAAGGTGACTGTTACCATATATTGTCTGTGTTCCTTTCTGGTCTATGTTGCTTTTAGGCTCTCTCTTTGCTTAGAGGACCCCTTTCAAGATTTCCTGTAGGGCTGGTTTCCTGTTTGCAAATTCCTTTAGTTTTTGTTTGTCCTGGAAGCTTTTTATCTCTCCTCTTTTCAGTGACAGCCTAGCTGGATATATAGTATTCTTTGCTGCATATTTTTCTCATTTAGTGCTCTGAATAAATCCCGCCAGTCCTTTCTGGCCTGCCAAGTCTCTGTGGATAGGTCTGTTGCCAATCTAATGTTTCTACCATTGTAGGTTACAAATCTCTTCTCCCGAGCTGCTTTCAGGATTTTCTCTTTGTCTATGAGATTCGTAAGTTTTACTAGTAGATGTCGGGGTGTTGACCTATTTTTATTGATTTTGAGAGGGGGTTCTCTGTGCTTCCTGGATTTTGATGCCTGTTTCATTCCCCAAATTAGGGAAGTTCTCTGCTATAATTTGCTCCATTATACCTTCTGCCCCCCTGTCTTTCTTCTTCTTCTGGGATCCCAATCATTCTAATGTTGTTTCGTCTTATGGTATCGCTTATCTCTCGAATTCTGCCCTCGTGATCCAGTAGTTGTTTATCTCTCTTTTTCTCAGCTTCTTTATTTTCCATCATTTGGTCTTCTATATCACTGATTCTCTCTTCTGCCTCATTTATCCTAGCAGTTAGCACCCCCATATTTGATTGCACCTCATTAATAGCTTTTTGATTTCTACTTGGTTAGATTTTAGTTCTTTTACTTCTCCAGAAAGGGTTTCTCTAATAACTTCCATATTTTTTTCAAGCCCAGCTAGTATCTTTAAAGTGATGATTCTGAACTCTAGATCTGACATCGTACTAATGTCCGTATTGAGTAGGTCCCTGGCAGTCGGTACTACCTCTTGTTCTTTTTTTGAGGTGATTTTTTTCCGTCTTGTCATTTTGTGCAGAGGAGAATAGATTAATGAGAGAACAAGATGCTAGCAGAGTAACAACGTCCCCAGAAAATATACTCTAAACAAATCATAAAAGACCTGAAGCAGTGGGAAAAGAAAGGGAAAGAGGGAAAAAAAGAAAAAGAAAAAAAAGAAAAAGAAAAAGATAAAGATAAAAACAAACAAAAACAAACAAAACAAAACAACAACAACAAAAAAAACCAGAATGTGATCAAATATGATCAGGCTGGTATATAGATCAGTGCCACACACTAGATTTGGGGTGTATTTTGGTCTGTTAGAAGAAAGTGCCTCCCAAAATTTTAAAGAAAGAAAAACTTATATATGTACAAAAATAAGGGTTGATATGATAAAGGGATGGAATATGACTGTAAAGATGGAAATTATAAAATATTTTATAAAAGGAATTGATAAGAAGTTGTTTGAAAAAAGAAAGAAGAGGATTTAAAAAAAGAAAAAAGAAAAAAAAGGGAGAGAATGTGATCAGGCAGGGGAGTAGAAAAAACCATATACTAGAGATTTAGGGTATATTTTGATCTGTTAGAAGAAACTATCTCAAAATTTTAAAGAGAGAACAACTTATATATATATGCCAAAAATACGGGTAACTACTATGAAGGGATAGAATATGACTCTAAAAATGAAAAATAAAAATGTTTTTTAAAAAAGGGATTGATAAGATGTTGGTTGAAAAAGGGAAAAAGAAAAGTTAAAAAAAAAAAGAAAGAAAAAAAGACAAAGAAAAAAAAATTAACTTTGAACGACTAAAGAATCATGGTAAAAAAGCCATGAATTCTATGTGCAGTAGTCCCCTAGCGCTGGAGTTCTGCCGTTCTCATTGATGGGTAAACTTGGTCTTGGCTGGCTGTTCTCACTGATCTTCTGGGGGAGGGGCCTGTTGCCGTGGTTTCCAAATGTCTTTGCCGGAGGCGGAATTGCCCCGCCCTTGCCCGATCCGGGCTAAGTAATCTGCTCGGGTTTGCTCTCGGGAGCTTTTGTTCCCTGCGAGCTTTCCATACAGCTTTGGAGGCCGAAAGTGAAAATGGCGGCCTCCCAATCTCCGCCCCGGAGGAGCTGAGAATTCGGGGCCTCACTCCTCAGTGCACCCCAGAGAAAAGCAGTTAGTCACTCCCGTCTCCCCGGTCTCCGGCCGCACTCCGTGCTCACCCAGCCTGTGACATTTCTATCTCTGGCACCCAACCCCAGGTGGAGTCTTCAAACCCAGTAGATCCCTGCAGTGCACTCCCGCGCGGCTCCTCCCGGGGGGAGGAAGGTGAGTCTCCCTGGATCTGCCGCTTGTTGGGTCCCTGCTGGAGGAGCAGTGGCCTGACTGTGCCGTGGATCACGGTTTATGGCAACCCCGAGCTGAGAGCCCGCGCCTGGGCTCCGCCTCTGCAGCCAGTTCCCTGCTCCGTTACCTGGGAGCTCTGCCACACTCAGGCAGCCCCGGTCTTTCTGTGACCCCGAGGGTCCTGAGACCACACTGTCCCGGAGGGTTCCACCCCCCGCTTAGCCACCAGAGTGACGTCCCTCAGCAGAGCAGACTTTTAAAAGTTCCGATTTTGTGCTCCGTGGTTCTATCACTTGCCAGAAGCGGCCAACAGAGGCCCCTCCCCCGCCGTCTAAACTCCCGAATATCGCCTCGGATTCACTTCTCTGCACGTTCTATCTTCCAGAAAGTGGTCGCTTTTCTGATGAGAGAGTTGTTGCTGTTCTTTTCTTCGATCTCCTGTTGAGTTTGTAGGTGTTCAGAATGGTTTGATCCCTATCCAGCTTAATTCCTGAGAGGAGACGAAATCCAGGTCTCCGACTCCTCCGCCATCTTGCTCCGCCCCCTCATAAATGAATTCTAAGAGTAATTTTAAGAGTAAATGCCCTATTACATGTTTCCTGTGGCAACTTCCAGCTGTTAAAGCCCATGGACCCCAGAGTCCACTGCTGGCCCCAAGTCTGGGTTGAATACCAGCTTAGTCCCACACACACAAAAAAAGCACAATGATATTGTCCTTCAGTGTCCACTGTGAGGAACAACTGAAATAACGTATATGAAAGAACTCTGCAGACTGTTAGGATCTCTGCAACTCTACATGCTGTCAAAGCACCACCATGTAATATATGCAACAATTTTTTAGGAAAAATCCCTTCACTTTCAAAAATAGTCTGTGCAGCTGAACAACAACATGAAGAACCCAATTTCAACCCATCCCTGTCCAAGGCTAACCCCATCTGACAAAACCACTCCCTAGTTAGAAGAGCCTCGCTGTAACCAGTTATTTGCTATTGAACTATCCTGGTTTTATCTCTGTTATTGCACTTTTCATAATCTGTAGTTACTTTATGATGTCTGATCATGAGAATGCCAACCCCAAGGAAACCAGAAACCCTATCCATTGTCTTCATTCTCTCCCTTCTAGCCCTGAGCACTCTATGGACAGCAAAGTGTTCAATACACATCTGTTGAATACAGGAACTTAATTTTAATACAAAAAGTAAAACTATCTCTGTAAAATTAACTTACCTTCTAAAATTATGTTTGAATCTTCTACAGCATTATCTAAAAAAAAACAAAAAACACACATTTTATATTAACTCACACTAGATTCCTAAATTAACTTATCTCTACTAAGGTAACTAAATTTGGCTCTTTTTAGACTTCATAAGAGGGCTTCTTATGAAGACTCATAAGTATTTATATTAGCATATCAACTTTAATTCCTAGATTATATTCAAAGAATACATCAAACAGGCTGACATTATCCCTGATGATATAAAACTTGCATCATAAGTAGGGAATAAACATATTGACAATATGCAATTACTTCCTTGGAGACTTGAAAATGTCTTGTATTTCCTACTACATCTATCTTTGTCCCACAAGTTATCTGAGTTTTAATAAATACAAGGAGGGTGGGGCTGATTGCAGGAAACACCCATTTAGAGAAAAAGCTTACCTGAACTTTCTAGCCCTTCATTTTCCAATGGCTCATATACTAGAAAATACACAGAAGAAATAATCCTTTAGGACTACATTAACTCTCACTGTGACACAACAATTCGCTGTATGGTTTCATGAGGAGAGACAATGTCTACTTCATCCTTAAACCCCTGGGCTTAGTCGCTGGGAAGTAGCAGGCTACAGAGTAGGGTGGGGAAGAGTCTGGTGTGGAGTCAAACACGCACAGATTCAAAGTCCAACTCAGCCACCTTTTAGTCACAGGAGATGGGCAATTACAAACACTTTCTTCATGTAAAATGGGGGAAATTAAGGTTCTTCCCCAATCACTTGTTATCAGGATCCAAAATCTGTTTACTTCCTGGTGGCACTAAATTTCCCTTTTCTATTTTTTCATGTCTGCAAGGGAGAATTCTGAGCTTTACCAGGCAGATTCTCTATTTGTTTAGGGAACAACTCTCAGATCTGCCACCTGGGGGCAAACACTGCTGGTGCCAGCCCCTCAGAGCGAGGGTTCTGCTGGCAGACTGTGAACTCACTGCCCTACCCATGGCCCAGGGCCCATCATTTCTCCTCGTTTACTTGCATGGGGCTCAGTGGCTCTGTGCTCTGCTACAAAGGAGGTTCTGGTCTCTTCTCTCGGGCGCGGCTGGGTCACAGCTTTCTTGGGTCAACCCAATCCCAGCTTTATCAATTCTCCAAAATGCCTCAAATTTTCTGGTTCACTTAGAGTGAGCTTTCTTATATTCCTAGCACAGTTATCAATGTATTCTTTACAATCATTTACTAAAGAAAATTTATTGAGCACCTACTATATTTCAGATGCTATTCTCAGTGCTAGGTAGAGTAAGGGACCATTTTTAACCCATCATCTCCTGTCCTTCTGGTGGTACTGGTAAGACAGAGAAGCAGCACTTGGTTGCTCACTCTGTCACTTTGAACTGTTTTGTATTTAAACACGCTCACGTCTCTAGCAACTTAAAGAAAAAAAAGCCCTTTCTTGAGCCTGCTTCCCCTTGCCCCACCTCTCCCCTCCATTTCCCAATCTCATTTCTTCAAAGAGTCGTTCACATTCGCTGTCTCACCCCTCACTTCCTTCCCCAACTACTGCCATCTGTCTTGTGGCCCTGACTCAACCCTGCCAAGGCTCCTCCGAGACCACCTCGTTCTATCTAGTGGACGATCCACCTCACCGAGTTAGATCTCTCAGCAGCTCCTTCCTTTTCAAACACTTCGGTGGGACCGTGTTCACCTTCAATTCCTTCATTTCTCCTTCTCAATCTTCATCACCTGTCCTAGTCCTACCAGGCATGAAATGTTGGCTTTCATCAAAGGCCAGCCAATAACCAATTGGCTTATTACATATCCCCCTGGATATCTCGACACACACTGTCAACACAAACAGACTGGACTCACGGTCTCTTGGCCCATTCCTGTTTTCCAGTCCTGCCTGTCTTAGGGAAAAAGCACCGCCATCCATCAAGGGCACGAGCCAGAACGGTGGACAGGGTTCCTGACACCTTACTCTCTCCCCCAGCTACACCCACACATCACGCGCCCTGTCAATTTTATCTCCTTACATTTCTCAGCTTGTCCGCTACCCTTCACTGCCACCACTCTGGCTCAAACTACTTTATCTCTGTCCACCTTCATCTGTGTCCACTGAAAATGGCTCCTGCCAAGGTCACCGGGAGGCCGCTGTCGTACTAGATCCAAGGCATGTGTTCAATGCTCACCTCACGTGGGTCCTCAGCAGCATGGGACACTGTTGAACATCCCTTTCCTGAAAGTCATCTCTTCTGACTCCTCTTTTGGCAGAGATGGGACTCAGGGCAAGATCAGATTGGGATAATGACACTAAACTAACTGGTCTCCCCATATCCACTCTTGTCTCTCTCCAGACTATTTGCTACACATCAGACCAATCAATCTTTACAAAATGCATATTTGATTTTGTAGCGCCTTGCACAACGCCCTGAGGGTAGGTGAACATCCCTGACTAGCTCTAGGCATCCTCTGGAGCCCAGACATAGTACAATCTCAGGCCAGATTAGACTGCCAGCACTCCAGACATATCTTCCCACCTCAGAGGCTTCTTACAACATTCCGGCCACATTTTCCCCTTGCCTTGGCACCTCCAACTTCAGGGAAGCCTTCCCTGGTCCACAAACTAGTTAGGTCTCTTCACTATATGCTCTTGTTACACACCGTCCCTGTTCTCACCAGCACTTAGCACAATTGCGAGGAAAAACACTAAATTGAAGCTCTTTGTGTAATTTCTCCCCCCCCCCCACCTGCCGCTAAAATATAAGGCCCATAGGAATATGGACTATGTATGTGTTCCTCACTGGAACTGCCCCAGTCCTGTTTTAGACATAAAATAGTTAATATATATCCAGTACATGAATATATCAATCAGAAGGTGAGACGGTACTGTCATTTCCGAGGTATATCCAATGTAGGCTTGATGCTTTCTAGATTTTTAATATGAAAGCTGGTTACCTCCATAGCTTTAATAAGCCACATGCCTTCCAGATTCTAGATGTAGGGAGTTTAATACAGAATATATTCTGTTCTTCTACTGAAAAAATGATTTTTTTTAGAGATTTTATTTATTTATTTGACAGAGAGAGAGACCGCAAGAAAGGGAATACAAGCAAGGGGAGTGGGAGAGGGAGAAGCAGGCTTCCCGCTGAGCAGGGAGCCCGATGTGGGGCTCGATCCCAGTACCCTGGGATCATGACCTGAGCCGAAGGCAGACAGCCACTCCGGCATCCCTGAAAAATAGTTTTATTTTCACCCTACTTACAGCTTCACTTACATATGTTCACTTGGTTTCCCTAGCCTGGTTCCTGAATGTTACAAAGGTATCTTTTTAGAACACGGTGAATAATCCTATTAATAATTCTATTAAATCCCTTTTGTTTGAAAAAGTTTAGGTTCTACGGCAAGGTAATCTAAAGTATCTCAAAATCTTGTGATCCAAAGTGTCTCAAATTTTGATGACCCCTTAGGTCCTATTTATTACTCTTTTTTTTAACATGTTAAATTATATTTATTCTGATATTCTGCCTATGAAAACACATTTATTTTTACAATATCTTTTTTTAACACGGTATCTAATTTTACACTTCTTTCAAGTTTGATTTTAAAGTTCTCTGGATCTAGCCTGCAAACTGCCTTCCAAACATGTTCTTCCTAGCATATTTAGACAAACACTATAATGAGTCGCAGAAATTAGAAAATTATCTCAAGTCTCACCTCTACATATAACTTTTAATTTCCAAATTCCTATTTTCTCCCTTAAATTTGAAACTGAAAAGAAAATCTAGATGCAATCATAGTGGCCAAGTTATTTCTTATAAAAATACTAGTTCTTAAAGACAGAATCCAGGATGCTTCCAATGGCATCATTCATATCCCATTAGAAATACCCACCGTCACTGGTCATCTTAGTAGGACCTTAAATCTTAAATACATATGCTTAATAAATTAACATATCAGGTTTATACACAGCCACTCCTAATTTTCTTCAACTGAGAACCACCAACTGTCATGAAACCATACACTTCTTGACAGTAGGATTCCATATTGCTCCTATTTGAATGTCAAGCCCCCAAACCATCCAGCACATAGAAAGTCCTCCATATTTGACTCAAGCACTATACATTTCTTCGTCCTTCTTGCTTCACACATGAAGTTATGCTCAACTGACTTCTCTCCTTTTACAGTCATCCGTGAATGTGGCAGAATAAAAATGACATACCTTGGCTTTATCATTTCTTAGTCATATCAACTTACACAAATTACTTACATTGTCTGAACCTTATTTCCTTCTCCCGGAAGTCGCAAAAATAAAATCTACTTCGCGAAGTTTAATAAAACAGCTTGGGGAGTGCTTGGGCAACAAACAAAGCTATAATTGCCTAAATCTGAATCTAGTGCCACTCATGCCAAAAACATGCCCGAACTCTTTTCTTTATGCCACTTTTAAGCCTGCAGTGAAATTCTTTTGTACCTTTCTCCATGCTAGTAGATCCATCACCTTTAAGAGTGGGATTACTTTGGGCGCCTGGGTGGCTCAGTTGGTTAAGCGACTGCCTTCGGCTCAGGTCATGATCCTGGAGTCCTGGGATCGAGTCCCGCATCGGGCTCCCTGCTCGGCAGGGAGTCTGCTTCTCCCTCAGACCCTACCCCCTCTCATGCTCTCTGTCTCTCATTCTCTCTCTCAAATAAATAAATAAAATCTTAAAAAAAAAAAAAGAGTGGGATTACTTTGTAGTGAAGAAACTAGAGTAGTTCAACTCTGACTGGTTTTCTTTGCACCAGACATATGCTAGTCAAAAGAGAGCTAAGACTATAAAATAATGACATAAATTCTTGTGAATAATTTTTAACGGCTTCCGAAGGCAACTTGCAAAGAATTTAAGAAAAATTATTTAGTCAATGGCAGCACCACTGGAGGAGGTAAACACCTTCCCAGGTAAATTCTTTGAAAACTCCCATTCATTTGGAGCTTTTAAGTTATGGTATTTGAAGCTTAAAACACTATCCTCTATATTCTACAAACTATGCGTAGATTTTAAAACAGGTAGATGGCTTAAGGTTAAGAAGCATTTTCAAACCTGGTTCATCATAGTCTTGGTATGTAAGGTCATCTGCAAGAAAGAGAATAAAACTCAGTATTAAATGGGTCATTCTATGTAAGTGCTTAGCTAAAAACCACAACTTAATCTCAAATACAGAATTCTATTCCTTTAAATATCAGTGTCTGCAGTCAGTGGTAAGTGCTTCTGCCCAACAACAACTAGACAAAAGGATGAGTAAATTATTTTCACAAAAATTCCTCAAACTGGCATAAAGTAAGATATGCAAAAGTAGCATTAAGGATTAATATCCTGTTCCATCGTGGTGCCAGTGTAAATGAGCTAAAATATGAAAGCCTGATATTCCATTCATAATCTAATCTTGTTACAAGGCAAAAGACTTTTATTAGGTGTTAAGATTACTTCTTTGACTCCTTTGAAAGAAAAATCATGTTAACATAGCATTACAACTGTAAAGCCTTGAATAAGGTTTACAATCTAATGAAAATATTCACCCAGTACCTGCTTCGTGGTTCCTTCTTTCATCATCACCTACTACAGGTTCCGTGGCATCTATAGAGAAAAATATTCACCTCTGTCAAACATGAAAAAACCAAACACATTACTAGATGCCATTCTAAAGTATTTACAAATTAATTCCAATCTTCACAAATGTGTAAGAGAGATATTATCATTATCATTCAATAAAATTTAAGCTGAATAAAGTCCCATAATTTGCTAAGTCACAAGGACAGGAAGGAGCAGAACCAGTCAGACTCCACTACACCATACTGCCTCACCAATTTCCGAATCACCTTCCCAGCATCCTATCTACAAAGAGCAAAGTCCCAGTTGTGGTTTGAAAAATACATCTCCTTTTCCCCTCATTCCTCCATGTAATATTAAACTATATTCAGGAATTTCTATAAATGTCTGGGCAACCAAAAATGATTGCGAGTATTATAAAGAGGACTCTGTGTTGAATCAGAGTGAATCATTTACCCCGGGATAGACTGGCCTTGGCCAGTGCCTTAAACGGAAAAACATATCACAAACCTGGATTGTCCTGCTCATACATCATTTCTTCCGTATCCTGATTATAAGCCTGTGAAGCTATAAGTTAAGAAATGATTAGGAAATTACAAATATATCTCAAGAAGGATTACACTTGGTATTCAAAATAGGAAAAGCCCAATATCCAGTAATGCCAGAAATGTAAAATCAAATCATAATGACGCTCACATTTATATTCACTCATGGAACACCCAGGTACTACCTTTGTGAAATGCCAAATACAAAGATGAATGAGATAGTCCCCATCACCAATGGGTTTATAATCGAACCACAAACTTTAGATTATGCAAATTCAACTATATTCAGCAAAAGACTAATGAGACCGAGAGAGACAGAGACCACAGAGATGGCGGGGCAGGTGAGCCCTCCTCCCATCCACTCAGCGAGCACCAGCCACAAGAGTGTGCCTGAGGAAGGGCACACACACTTCCCAGCCCCTCACACTTGGACTCAGTACCTCAGTACTCCCAGACCGCAATACAGTTCTAGTATTTACAAATACATATTGTTGAAATGATGTAGGTCCTAAATGCTAGCCAAGAGTATCATGTGGTCCTCAAACACAGAGAGAGGGATCTATTCCAGCACCGGAAGAAAAACTGGCCAACACAGGCTTACTGAAAGATATGTCCATCTCCAGTGTGGCCATATCTTCTGCGGATGCATGACCAGTGACAATACACAATCTTGATCTTTCATTGACTTTGTAATTTAAGGCTACAAAACATGTACTTCTACTGTATCTCTTGGCCTAGCAATCCCACTACTGGGTGTTTATCTTCAGGAAGCAGACCTCAAAAGCACAAAAACTATATTCACAAAGAAACATATACATGAAATTATGACACCATATATGTTATATATAACAATTAACTACATATTATGTATTTTATGACATATTATAAAATATATTAATAGATAATCATAGATAATATTTTCTCTTTCTCATGATGTTCTTTTTATAGGAAAAGACTCATTCTAATTAAAAAAATATATTATTAAGTTTAAATCTCACCTGTCTCTTCTACATGGTAACTATCTTCAGTTTCTGAAAAGAGTAACATCAAATCAATAGTAGTACTTTCATAAAATTGTATGTATATATACTATAGATGCATACCCTCAATCTATGCTTGCCATTGATTTTATTTTGAAAGCAAATAATTATTAAAATAAAACATGAAAGTATCCATTAACTGTTTGCTGAACACTTTATCTTTTACTAGAACTACACATTCTCTTCGACCCACTCAACACCACCACAGCCTGGACTAATGAGAGGATGATTTGAACAGAGTAACACAGTGACAAGGCTGGACCCAGGAAAGGGGCTATCTTAGTCTACTTCACATTCCACTGTGGTGTCTTGTTTTCTAGAGCAAAAGCACAGTGTCTACAGATGGGAACACAAGGAAAGACAGAGGAGACTTTCTAAGATGGGGAGCTGAAAGGTAAATGAGTTCATAATTGAACCCACAGACCCCCAATAGCAAAATGCTGCCACCACAGGATCCTCACTACTCCACTGACCCTTGTTAATGTAACAACTATATAAAGTGTAAATATTTTTCATTTCTGAAGACTTTCAATAAACAACTTTTAGGTTCACACTGAATCTATGTCCCAATTAAAGATTAGGTCAGAAAGTACGCTTTTCTCGATTTATAAACTTTTTAGGAGTACTTCTTCCTACCCCTAATCTATAACTCCTAACCTCAAAAATATCAAATTCCTTGTTTCAGGTAATTTGAGTGTCTTAACTGTCTTAACTGCAATGTGTTATTTAAGCAGCATCTAAGATACCAAAATTCTGAGTAACTGTCAATCTTCCTGAGCCATGTTGGCCGAAGACAGGAGGGAGCAAGAGATACCAGGGGAAGTGTGGAAATCATTTTATCAGCATCCCTTACTTAGAAATTAGAAGCATTTTTTTCCCCAGAGAAACTGTAACATACATGATAATTAAAGGCCTGGGGCGCCTGGGTGGCTCAGTCATTAAGCGTCTGCCTTCGGCTCAGGTCATGATCCCAGGGTCTTAGGATCGAGCCCCGCATCAGGCTCCCTGCTCCACGGGAAGCCTGCTTCTCCCTCTCACACTCCCCCTGCTTGGGTTCCCCCTCTCGTTGTGTCTCTCTCTGTCAAATAAATAAACTCCTTAAAAAAACTGATAACTAAAGGCCTAAAGTTCTTTTTTTTTTTTAAAAAAATTTATTTATTTGAGAAAGAGAGGGAGAGAGAGCGAATGGGGAGGGGCAGAGGGAGAGGGAAAGACAGCCTCAAGCAGACTCCATGTTGAGCATGGAGCTGACATGGGGCTCAATCTCACGACCCTGAGATCACGACCTGAGCCAAATCCACAAGTCAGACGCTTAACAACTGCACCACGCAGGCGCCCCAAAGGTCTGAAGTTTTAAAGCTGGTCTATAAATGCCTACTTTTAATGCACAATGCAGCTAAACTCATATACAAGCTCAAAATCATTTTGAGTGTACATTTTTCATAGAAAATTATGCATTATACACAATTTTGTAGGTTGGTATGGGAATCAAACCATCACTTATAACATTATTTCTATGGAAAAGCATATTTCCTGCTTTCAACAATAAGCATAAATGTAAGTTTTTGGAAATATATTCACTCATAAATCAAGAGCTTCTTGCTTCTAGCTTCCCAATACATTAAATATTGTGAAAAGGAGATATACTTTACTTTTTCATTACTTTTATATGCTGGAAAAAAAAGTCTTAGCAACCATTTACCAACTGTATTGTGAGCAGGCTAGCTCGCCACTCAATTTTTAGCCTCTACAAGTGCTGTCTCCACCCGATTCCCCCTGGCTATGAGCATGGAGGCACACGCCTTAGCCTGGTCACACCCAGCAGCCTGGGACATGACGGAAGACATGTGAAAAAATCACCAGGCTGGCCACAGTGCTGCTCAACCTCCGCTGCACTTGGATATGACCTGGGGAGCTTTGACCATGATCCTGTTTTAGAGGCTCCACACCCCAGACATTCTGATTCACTTTGTCTAGGGTGGGTCAGAGCATTCTTTTAAAAGCTCTCTACGCGATCTTGACTGCATCCAAGACTGAAAACTATTTGTAGGGATATCAAGCACATCTTTTATGGACCATATTCACAAGAAATTCCCTCTCTGAATCCAAGACCTTATGGCTCTGGACCCTTCCTACCTTCATTAGTGCTGTGGATTTCACTTATTACTTGTTTCTCACAGTCTTTCTACTTGCCTGAACTTGACTGAGGCTTAGCTAATCCTTAAACACTGCCAGATACCTCTTACCCAGATCCTTTGTGGCTTGTGGGGCTATGCTTTTGCATGGGTCCTGAAGCAGCTCAACCACAGACTCTGATGATTATTATGTGGTGGAACATAATGGGCTATATGGTTTTGTGTGGGTGCTGTCAACCTTTTTTTTTAGTTTTACTCTTGAGAAATGAAACATCCATCTCAAACAATGTTTCAGAGTATTCATTTTATGTATACAATTATATACATACAATTATATCATTTATATACTTCTACACTCTAAAAAAAACATCATTAATCAATCAGAATACAACTTGTGGATTAAAATCTTTCAGGGCGCCTGGCTGGCTCAGTGGGTAAAGCATGTGACTCTTGATCTCAGGGTCGTGAGTTAAAGCCCCACACTGGGCACAGAGCTTACTTTAAAAATAAATTAATTAAAAAGTTAAAAAAAAATCTTTCAAGAACTCATTAAAGTCTTAAAGGGCCACCTTAAAAAAGAACGGAGAATAGATACCATAAGAACAAAGCACGTGTGCTCATTTAACAAGGCTTCAAATAAATAACCGTGGTAGTATCACATTAAAACATAGCAGAACTCAAAATACATGAGAAAAAGTTTTCAGCATTACAGAAATTACTTCCTTCTATATGTCAACAGTGAATAACTGTAGCTCTAACTTGCCTTCTGCAAAGGATCCAAGGTAAGCTACTCAGTGGATATTTAAATAACCAGCATTTAATGGAACATACTGACACAGAAGAGATGTCAGCAAACTATGGTCTGTAGCCCAGAGCAAGCCCACCTCCTGATTTTGTACATAAAGTTATCCTGGAACATGGCCATACGTACCCATTTAGGTATTATTTAAGGCTACTTCTGCAGTATGACAGCAGAGCTGAGTAGTTTCAATAAAGGCCATATGGTCTGCAAAGCCTAAAATATTGATCCTCTAGCTATTTACAGAAAAAGGTTGTCAATGCCTGGTACAGAAGCTAAGAATTGTGTTCTATAAGCTGTGCCTATGGAGTTCATGTTAGAGCAAGAGACTGTGATAGATTGCCAAGTAAAATATTTCATCAGTTTTCTGAATTTCTTCTAATACATGGCACTCTAGGAAGAAGTGTACAGTAAACGTAATGTGCTAAAGCATTTCACTTACTTTCTATAAGGAACTTATATATTCTGACAGTTTCCTTAAAAAAGTGCTTTGAATCAAAATCAAGGTATCTACTTATTTTAGGGAAAAAATTAGTTTCACCAGCTTCCACTTAAAAATAAACTTCAGATAAAAAATTAAATATTGGTTTTAAAGGTGTTTAAGAAAGACTTCAATAATCATAATTACAAATTGTCTACTGGGTTTTATTCTGAAACCAAAAAAATGTGTCGTACCTTCATGAAATGTTCTAGTCTCCAGGGACTCAAATCTATCATCTGCATCACCTCCTACGAGGAAATCATCATCTTCCAGTTGTGGTTCTCTCGCTTGCCCATCCTCTTCTTGTTGCACCTCGTCTCCTTGAATGATCACAATGAACAGAGTCACATGAGTCCACAACAAGGGCCCACAGACAACAGCCAACACGGACGCGTGAGCCGCTTCCGAAAGGCTGCCACATACCCACTCCTGCTGCCGGGCACTCGCTGCCCCTCGTCTGGGCCATGGCACAGGCTGTTGCCCACCCTGAAGCTCTGCCCTCACTCTGGTCGAGCGCTAGTCCACCTGAGGGTGGGAGGGGGGAAGGCCTTCTCTCACTAGAACATGAACTCACCAAGCACAGGGACCTCATATATTTTATTTACTATGTACGCCCAGCACTCAGGGCCATGCTTAACCATAGGAAATGCTCAGTAAGTATTTAAGGAGTGAATAAATGAACTCGTAATTGTTAACGTATTTGCCTCTTCTGTTATCACCAGGTTAGAGAGATCACCTTGTGACCTCGCACTGAGAATTGTCCTAAAACTCCACGTAACAATCTTAAATAGCTCCATAAAATGTTCTATTGCGAAGAACAGCCAGCTACCTCTCTCCGCCGTGTGCTAGGTCATCTGCATGAGGTCAGCTGTACTGTACTTTGCATCTAAAGGTTGCCGTGTGGAGCCTGGGACTTATGCAGAAATGCCCGCTTTCCTCTTCTGAGACTAACTTTTATGATATACTAAGCTCTCTGCTTCTTTTGTGTAGGTGTTGCATAGGCTACTTATCCCACTGCAATATGGTTTAGCTTGTCACCTTGGTGTAAAAGTGCTCCCAAGGCAACCTGACGTGGCTCCGAGCACAGTATGTCCTATACGTGATACTCTAACCAAGCAACACAAGTGACTCAGCTGTGCTCACGGGGCAGTAAAACGGTTAGGACTGTGGGGTCTCGAGTGTATGGCTCCAAATCCACACCAGCTGTGTGACCCCAGAGACGTTATGTAACTACTCTGTGCCAAGGACTTTTCTTCCATAAAAAGGAAACAGTAAGAGTACCTACTTATAGCGTTGTTGTGAGGATTAAGGCACCTGGAAAACTGCCCGGCCCGTAACAAGCATTTAGGTGTTACTGCTCTTGTTGCTTTATTCTTATCATCATCATCACCATCATCATCATCATCGTAAGGATATTACTCTTTCTGCTGCTACTAAACTCTCCTCAAACACTGCAGGAAGCCTTCCTTCCCTCACCTTTAGTATGGAATAGCGACACTCTCCACTGCTACTGAACCATGTAAGCCCACTTATGGCCACGCTATTTATGTGTTTTCTGTCTTTCCAACACAGCCTGCTACATTGTTTCTCCTCGTTTCAGATTTTCAGCCTGCTACATTGTTTCTCCTCGTTTCAGATTTTCAGCCTGCTACATTGTTTCTCCTCGTTTCAGATTTTCTGCCAATCGGCAAACCAACCACCAATTCTGATTCCTCTCACTGATTTTATCATGCCCCCTTTTCCATATTCTTTTTTCCTTACTCTTGCGTTATCCAGTGCAACTTTATGGTTTTCACATGAGCAGGATTTAGCTCTTGGCCACTGCCCGTTACTTAACGGAAAGTCCCTGTTTTCAGTAGGGAAACCAACCGGACATCATGCATTATCTGAGTCTCCCTTGCTCAATCAGTGACAGCCCGGTACGAGCAAAACAGTTCCCTGCAGGCCGACTACATCTGCGGCACTGCCAAGCCCTCCTCGGCCATTACAGTAACCCCAGGAAGTAGGTACTATTACCCCCCTTCGAAGGATGAGGAACTTGAGAAACTCAGCTAAAGCCCCACAGCGAGTACACGGCAGCCACAGGCCCTGAAACACCGCGAGGAAGCACAGAAGGCCCTGGACAGAGAGTCTACTGCAGAGATGGTGGTCAGGGAGGCCATGTTTCATCGGGTAAGATGTGAAGACCGGAACACACACATACCAGCAAGAGATAATAACACGTACAAAGGCCCGGGGCAAACAGACTCGGCAATTATAAGGAAAAGAGAGGCATTTGGGCTGCAGAAAAGTGACTGAGAGGAGGAAAAGAAAAAGACCAGGTCCACATAAGGCCCATCAAACACCCAACTGGACGGTGATGCTGCCACACTGCGGTCCAGATACGCGCTGGAGGCCAAGCTGGCAGGACCTGCCCGTGGGTCCCATAGGAGGCGAGAAGAGGAGAGAGAAAAATAAGGAAAACTCCCCGGTCTTTAGCTTAAGCTACTAAGTAGAGGGGAGACCAAGACCTAACATATAAAAGAGTGGAATAAAAGCAAAATTTTAGGGGGCTGGGGGGAGAGCTATGAAATGCAAAGGAATCAAGAATTCTGTTTAAGTGCATTTTGAGTCTGAGATACCCATAAAACATGCAAATGAAGATCAACAGGCAGCTGGATAAACCAGGAGCTCAGAGGAGATAGGGCTGCAGATACATACTCAGAAGCAACACAAGTAACATTTAAAGCCATGGCCTCTGTGAATTTCTAAGTAAAGAACACAGTAAGTCCAAGAGGAAGGCTTGTGGCCAGAAACCCAGGCATGCTAGACTTGATTCGGCCCCCTTCTGTCTGGTTTCGTACACCCACCCACCCAAATGTCTACCATATCGTCCCACGTTTCTCTCTCCCCACCTTGGCTAAATTTGGTTCAACCAACCATCCTGACCCACTCAGATCACCAGTAGAGCCCCCCAACTCCTCTCCCCCCCAGCACGCTCCCTCTGCTCATGTTCACACTGCAGAAAGAAGGCACAGCACTCCCTGGCGCCCTCCAATGGTTCCTATTCCTCTGTGAATCAAGTACAAACACCCTTTCCCAATCACTCTCCACCTAGGTACTCCATTGGCCGGTCGCCCCGAACTACTCTTGGATCCTCTTTTCCTCTGGGCTTGCCCACGGGCCACGCCCTTTGCTCAGAACCCTCCCCGAACAACAACCACCTGGCAAAGCATGACGCCATCCTTCGGCTACTAAGTCAGAAAGTCACCTCTTCGGAGAAGCCTTTGGTAATGCCAAAGTCTATGCAAGGCCCACACAGCCATTACAGTTCACCGTTAAGGCACCGACCTCATCATACTGAAATCACTGACTTGTTCAGACTGCATCATCCTTGTGTTAGGTTAAAGTGAAAGAAAAGATGCAGGAAGGGAAGTCCTGTGCTTGCCGACAGAGGCAGACGCACGCTCAGGTGCAGTGGCTTTCCTGGCTGAGCAGAAGCCGGTAATGAAAGGACACAGGCTCTGAGACCGCGGAGAGCTGATGGTGAAAACCTACAGCTCAGCCGCAGCGGGTCTCCCCAGCACAGCACAGATGGAGCTGGATGGGTGCTTTACACGTAACTCCCAAACACCTAAGACTGAGTAAGACAGTTTAGCAGGCCTGCTAAAGCAGTTTCAATGATAGAGAGTCCCAGTTGTTTTTAAGAAATATACTTTTTCTCCTTTAGGACTCTCTCCAGCTCACACCAAACCATTAGGCGTATCAGGCTACCATGTGTTCTGCCTTCTTCGAAATCCCTTTGTGAGTCACATCTTGGGGTTACACTCTCTGCTTTTATCAAGGGATGTTTCAAGAAACAGTCTCATAAAATCTTAAAGCACGGGTTTCTAAAGTATCATTTAATATTCTCTGTACAGAACTACATATAAGAAATGCTTTAGATGTAAGAGCTGGGGAAATGTTTTATATTCTCTAAGTAGACAGCATGTTCATTTCCTCTCTGGTAACATAACCAACGTAATTAAAAGTTTCTCTTTTTGCTATGGTGACCACCCAAGCATGCAGCCAGGTTCAGCTGACGACAGCTTCCAGATAGCCCATTACAGCTTGCTTGGTTGTGTTCTATTTTCCTCTTCCCTGTTCTTGCCATCTGTTCTTAATGTATCATTGGTCTTAACTTGTTTATTCTCATTTATTCTAACCATTTCTTTATTAAATCTATGCGATAATTTCCTCAACAGTAAGGCAGCGTAAGATAAAACGAGTCTAGTGCTCTTTCAGAAATACTTGTCCTCCAATAATTAAAAAAAACACTCAATTATGATTTAAATTTAAAAATAATGTCAAAGTCACTTTATGTAATTAACCATTATTTGAGCAAGCAATGCATGAGAAAATGGATTTTAACTCATACCATGTTCTGTGTAGACTGCCTCATGGAGAAGGGGCTGAATTTGTTCTTCTACTTCATCTTCAATATTCCGAGGTCCTAAAATGATTACAAAACATAACTAAGTAGAAAAAAAATCTAGATATTAACGAAGAACATGAAACATGACCTCCAGGTACACACATTCAAATGAATATATTTGGTTCATCAACTATGCTACCTTTTCATACCCGTTTGCCACTTTTTTTTTTATATGTTGACAAACACAGTAAATATTTAAGATTGGTTTTATTTTATTTTTTTTTTTAAGATTTTATTTATTTGCGAGAGAGAGAATGAGAGACAGAGAGCATGAGAGGGAGGAGGGTCAGAGGGAGAAGCAGACTCCCCGCTGAGCGGGGAGCCTGATGTGGGACTCGATCCCGGGACTCCAGGATCATGACCTGAGCCGAAGGCAGTCGCTTAACCAACTGAGCCACCCAGGTGCCCAAGATTGGTTTTATTTTGACAGCAGATATAAATGTTTAGCAAACACCTCACAGAGCAAAATTACTTCAGTTTCTAATTAACAAAATTCACAATCATGAGAGAATAAAGAAAAGGGGATGGGCAAAGCTTTCAGGAAGGGAAGTACTTGGAAATAAAGATGAAAATGTGGAAGATGAGGCCAAAAGACATGAGAGCACCTGACAGGCCACTGTGTGAGGACTGAGAAGGTCAAAAGTTGAGGACGAGAACCCACATGATAACTGACAATCCCTTCGGCTTTGGAAGAAGCCCGTCTGACAGTCAGATCCATAGATTCAAATGGATATAAATTACAAAAGTCAACACTATCAGTAATGACCTTCCGACAACACTGTTCTGCTTATCGGATTACCGGGTTTGTTGAAACAACACACAACAAACAAGAAGCTATAATGACGTTGACACTGCGATAAATTTTCTGTTTAACAAACATCCATGTTCAGTAAATTGAAGTAGCACTAGACTTAGTATCACCCATGTTGTCACATGAAATAATGCCAATGACATCAGTTAGTTATACTGACAAGTTAATCCTCGATGACAAAAACAGGGTAAGTTCATGTGAACTTCAGATAGGAAAAGAGTTTAAGAACCGGTTAGGCTAATCACATTACAAAACCATTCCTGAAGCACAAGAAGTGCTTTCTATTTTTATAGATGTTTGTATATCACAAACCATTTTTATATGTATTTGCATACAATTACAGAAGAGCCTGCCAATCTCTCTTCTTCCCTCCTCGGCTCTTATAATGCCCATGACAGCTTCCTAACCAATTCTTAGTTTTACAACTGCTGACAGCACCATCCACAGAGAATCTAATATTAGTAACTGGAGTGGATGGTACTCTGCTTCTCTGCTTAACCCTTTAATGGCTTCCTCGGCCCGAACAGAGGAAAAGAGGAAAATCTAAGCTCCTCAGAACAGAATAGAAGAGCTCCACAATCTAGCCCTCACATGCCTCTCCAGAATCACCTCCTACCAGCACTGGCTTTGAACTCAGTGAGTCCACCATGCTGTTTCACCTTTCCATGATTCTGTGATGTTCCTCCTTTCCTCTGGGAAGGATTAGGAGAGGCAGAAGCTAGATTGCAATGAGTTAAAAACTGAGTGGAAAATAAGGCAAAGAAAGCAACTGTAGATTCTTTTTTCAAAAATCTGGCTAGTACAGGGCCGGGGACTGGAGGGCAGATAGAAAGTACTGTAGGGACCAAGAGGGGGTTTACTTTATTGTTTTGTAATGAGAGGTATGTACCTGGGTTTGTAGGATAGATAGAGAAGAAAAAGAAGCCAAAAACCTAGATAAGAGAAAGGTTGAAAAGGCAACATTTAAACTAAACCAAACACTGCCAAGAAGTTGAAAAGGATAGGAGTTGAAAATAAACTAACAGATTTAGAAGGACAAGTTATCAGTTAAATGTAGAGCAGTATTAACAAAAATTTAAAAAGGAGAGCTGAAACGAATGGCACAACATTTCAGAGTAGGTATTAGCTTTGAAAAACAGTATTTTTTAAATTATAAATTTATTTAGTGCAAAGTAATATTTGAGATGCTAAATCCAAATACACATTTAATTACAAAACGTTAAAAAAAAGTAGCTCTTTTGCTCGAGTTATGGTACTCTAAAGGATTGGGAAGGAGACAGTAAATTCTAGGATTATGTTTTGAACAAATAAAAAAAATCAGAGCAGCATACTGATCTTAAAAGGGAGAAAAGAAAATCAAATATTATTCATAGACTGACAAAATCAGCCCAGAGTACTTCAGTTGCTAGTAAATATGTAGTGTCATACCAAACCCTTCCAATAGGTGGCAAAATGAAACCAAATTTTGGAGAACGATTAGGTAAAGGGAAACTGTGCAGCAATTAAATAGTACTTTGCAATAAATATCACAGCACAAACAGGAAACGATAGTAACAGATTTGAATTTCATTTGCCAATTTATTCACAGATTTTAGGAGTTTTCCTTCTGTGGGTCACAGGCCCTTGGGTGACTATGGAGATCTCTGAATTCATCTATGAATTCATGTGGATGTACAAGAGGCCTCCCACAGCATCAAGTGGGGGTCTGGAAAGTCTCTGATGGAGAAAGGAGACCCTCCTCTTAAAAAGACTGGGAGTCCAGTAGGCCTCCCCTGTTAGATCTTGGAACCGACCATGACAACACTAGGGTACACTACGTGTCGAACTGTGCTTTCACTATAAGAAGTTCTGGAACTGGAATCCAGATACCTGCCATTTAGTTCATGATGTTCCTAACTGTGCCACCTCCTCTGTGCCTTTGATTCTTGATCCCCCAAATTAAAATTATCCTGTGTAAATTTTTACTAGAAAACATTAAGTTTACTCCAAAATCCCAGAAGAGAAGGAGAAAAAAATACTTCATCTTCCGTAAACATCATGACACAAATTATGGGTAAAACATGATTCTGGAAATTGCAAACTAGAGAGCTGGCAGGACGGGGCACATCCAGTCAGAAGTCGAAGAGAGCTTACCTGAATCCTCGGGGACCTGCTCCTCCAGCCACGGGTATGGCTCAGCTTCTTCCGGTGGGACTGTTGGCTTTGAAGCAGATCTTTCTTTAAGGCCTGCATTTTATTCACAAAGTTAACTCGAGTTTTTTTTTTTTTTTTTTTTTGACATATTAAACCAGGAAAAACAATATTCTCAAACACTTCATCAATAGTGCAAGTAATTCAGTTTCTCAGACTTCATACTCCATGAGAATGTAGAGATGCTTAAAAACTCAAGTAGGCAAACAGACTGCTCTGTAACTTCACGTGGGCCTTAGCCATCTCTTTACCTAAGTTAACCTTTCACTTAAAAACAATAAAACAAAAATCCTTGCTTAAGCCTTCACGAATCTCTAAAATAGAGTCATGTCTGCACTTGCCAAAAGAAGTCCAATATGAATTCAAGCTCCTCGTGTTCAGAAGTGATTAATTGCTGCTTGAGCTCTGAATCCAGCAGTAAGACAACTAAGATACACTTGAATTTGTTATTTGTTTGCATGCCATATTTTGATTTGTATATAATTACCTGTTCTTGAAAACTATAGTTAAAAATGAGAACAAATCATACATAACTATTTACAATCTTCTCAAGGTACCACTTACAATCATACTGTTCTATAAAGAGCTAAAATACATGAAAACAAAGATAGGTGTGTGTGTGTGTTTTTTAACGTCTTAAGGAAAATAAAACATCAGGGTAAATGAACATGAAGGCTGATTTTAAAGTCAACACCAGTCTAAAATCTATTAGACTAAATGATTTCTTTGATATTCTATATGAAGAACATTAAAATATATCCTCAACTAAATACAACTCTTTAGAAAGTTAAATCAGGTCCCAGAGTCTGTCATTCCATTCACCAGCTCCTGGCTCTTCGTTACCCACAGCGAGAATCTTGTACCAACAACTGTTACTAGAGGAAGTGTGTCATGCATGTCAATGGCCTACAGTGGAAAGGTCACTACAGAATTGAGAGGCATTTTTCTTCTCCTGAGCACTTCAGACCACTCTTAATGTACATATGCTACTGTAATCTGCAAAACTCTCCATGTCTTTTACTTCTTTTTGATTCCTTGTATTTTTCCTGACTCTTCCTTTCATTTTTCTCTCATTGGCAAAAACACACTCTCACCTTCTTCTCTCCAATTCTAAAGATAGTGAGACAGAGATACACAGGATTCTACCTCATCACTTATATTTGCTTCAGTTACTTATCTTCCACGCTATACTATCAAAACAAACACCAATGGATACAGCTGTGTTCTACTCCTAACTGTATAGTGACTTCTAACTATAATGTAGATTTCAAAGGGAATACACAAATAACCAGGGATCCTCAATGTAGTTCAATTTCAGGGGGTGATGGGTAGAGGCGAAGGCCTTATTAATAAAACCCATTACATTTCAAATCCCGAATTCAGGACTGAAAACTCCCATGCTCTTTCCCATTTAAATGTCTCTCAATTGTTAATGGAACAGGTATGAAACAGGTATGAAACTATTCATTACTACGTTCTGCTGAATGAATAGGGTAAACCTTCCTAACTGTGTCATTTATCTTTGTACTCTCAGCACCTCAGGAAATGCCTGGCATATAACAGGTGCCCAGTAAGCACCTGCTCAAGGGCTGAACATCCCCAATGGTGTGGCTACTCTGTTAGTTTCAATGGCTGCAGAGATCCTCTGTGGGACGAGGGCTCCTTGGCCGCACCAGAGAGGCTAAAGGCTATAAAGGTGGGAAAGGAGACTCACATCAGTTTCCTACTATTACCAGAGAGATTCCTATCTGTGCCCCAGCATCCACCACTACAGAGCCATGGGACTCATTTGCCTGGAGCAGTCCCAGGTTCTGTTCGTTCTGCTGCAATCATTATTTCTTCCTCAGAAATATCTCAGTTTGGATGAAAACCCACAGGGTCATTCTTCACTAATCCTCGATGCAGCAGGTTTTCAAATTGTGCTCCGTGGGTTCAATAAGCAGTGAAATATTTCCCCAACAAACAATAAAGATTTAAACTGCCTACAAATCCCATTCTTATTGAATTTCAGGAAGTTTCATTTGAAAACAATTTTCGATGTGAGAACTGTTTGAAAGCTGCTAGCTTCCCAATATTTAGACATATGGTTCTCATAGTCAGCTTTCTCTCTATCAACTGGAGTTGTCTCTAAAATTGAAATTGTAGAACCACAGGAGAAAGCAAAAGCATATAACAAGAGAAAATATTGAGTAGTTTTCTTTTCTGTCCAAAGTGGCAGTTGAATTGTAAATTTATTGATACTTGGGGCACCTGGGTGGCTCAGTTGGTTAAGCGACTGCCTTCGGCTCAGGTCATGATCCTGGAGTCCCGGGATCGAGTCCCGCATCGGGCTCCCTGCTCGGCGGGGAGTCTGCTTCTCCCTCTGACCCTCCTCCCTCTCATGCTCTCTCTATCTCATTCTCTCTCTCAAATAAATAAATAAAATCTTAAAAAAAATAAAAATAAAAAATAAATAAAAATTTTAAATTTATTGATACTTGGTCACAGCTACTTTCCAGAGGTGAAATCAGCATAAAAGTAAACCATAATGTAAACTTCAAAAAAGCTGAGGATCACATTAACACATCTCCTTCCCTAGACCCCTATAAACTTTCTAAAATTAAAAAAAAAAACATTCTAGACTAATTCTTATTAGTTTGATAAGCCATATGGAAGAATTAGCCCTATAAGCTTTCATTCTGGTGTTTCGAGAAATTATGTTGCCATCCAAGTCTATTTTGATCCGTGAATAAGTGTTCCTCAGGAAGTAGTGGTAAATCCAGGTCTCATATAAAATTTTAAGGCAAAAGTAAAAACTAAACAAAATAAAAATACATATAAGGTCAAGCAGTAATCAAAGGAAAGGTTTTCAAATTGGATTTATGAGATACAAATGGCAAGGATGTAGCCCTGAAATAAATATTCAAAATTACCATATGAAATAAATGTCATCACTTTTGATGTTCCTAGGGTTGCATACAACAAAACACCAACTCACACTAGCTCAAGTGAAAAAGAAACTTACTGTCTAATCTTACAAGGAGTGCAGAGACAGGTGGGCTTGCTCTCAGCACTAGCTTCACCCTCACGCTGGCCATCGGGGATCCCCTAGCTGCAAGCTCCTCTTTTGGACTAGAGGATGTCCAGAAGCAAAGAACCACCTCCTGCTTTGCTTCTCTTAGGACTTGAGGAAATCTTAGCTGGAAGCAGAAGCTTCCAGCAGTCTTCTCTTTCAGCTTTAACAATCAAAACCAGAACCCATTTCCATTTCTAAGCTGGCAAAGGGAACAGGATAACCATAATGCCTGAAAGTAATTATCTAGGGTTGAATGAAAGTTGCAAGTCAACCACAACAGCTCCTGCATGATTTGAAAAATCAATTAATTGCCTTAAAGCATACCTTGTTTTTAGTTCTTCGGGCACATCAGAAAAATTAGGAAATTAAAAAAAAAATGTCTGTATTTAATAAATATATGATTTTCTTACAATTTTAATTAAAAATGGAAGAAGTTATAAAGTAAGTGATGTGAGCACTTTAAGTCAATCATTCATAGCAAACTTGAGTATCTGACAGTTACCTTAATCCAGTATTAGCTTACTTCTTTCACTGCTACCCTACTATACCTGAGAGCAATGGGAAATAAATGCATTTTCTTCCTATCTGTATGTAGCAGTTTAAAACTTAACTAAATTGCATATGGTATTCATTCACTCAGCAACTATTTAGCACCTACTAATGCAAGGCACTGTTTTACAGAAAATGAACACTGAAAAGCCCTACTTCTCATAGGGAGGACAGAATTTTTAAAAATAAGAAACCTGAAATATTTAAAGTATATTGAATGGGGAAGATAGGGGACAGGGAGTGCCAGGCCATGAGGGAAAGAGGAGAGGCTATCTACAGTGAATTGATGAGGAAAGGTCTCATTGATAAAATGTAAACAGATTCCTAAAGGAAACCAGGGATGTGGCCCTGTGACTTGGGCTGGGGAAGAATGTTCCAGGGAGGCTCTGGACCAGCAAGTACAAATTCCTCAGCTGATCTGGGGTGAGGGGGAGAACAAAGTGCTGGGAGTGAGGAAGAGCCACATGGCCAATGCAGCTAGAGAAAAGGAGCAAGGGCATGAGAATCAGAAAGGTCCTGGGGTCACCTGATCATGGAGCTATTCATTCTGACTGAAAATAAAGGATTCATTTTTCCTAAGAGTTCTATACAAACCAGTTCCTTGACAAAATCTGGGAACATAAGAACGGCAAATAGGACTTCATAGACTAAGCCCATAAAAGCTAAGACATTTTTAAAAACTGGTTTATCAATCTTTGGCTTACTGACTCAGTAGTGTAGAGATTGAAAATTTTGATCTTTTTTTTTTTTTAAAGATTTTATTTATTTATTTATTTGACAGAGAGAGACATAGCGAGAGAGGAAACACAAGCAGGGGGAGTGGTAGAGGGAGAAGCAGGCTTCCTGCAGAGCAGGGAGCCCGATGCGGGGCTTGATCCCAGGACCGTGGGATCATGACCTGAGCCGAAGGCAGACGCTTAACGACTGAGCCACCCATCTTATCTACCTAGGTTACTCCAGCTGCTGTGATTCAAAGGGGAAGAGCTCAGGACTGCTCCTGCTTCCAAATGCAAGTAGTCTAACAGTATAAATCAATATACCCCAAGAATAACCCTAATAGCTACATGATCTTGAGAAATATTCTGGAAAATCAATAAACCAGAAAGACGCACATACTGATTGACCATGCTAATCGTCGTGGCTCCTTGCTTGTATAATCAGCCAATACAGATCTTAGTATCCCAACTGCAGCCCTGTCAAAATTCTGCCAGAAACTAAAAGAGCTGCCCCATGATACACAATAAGAGCCATTCCAGATTCAAAGCGTCTTCACACGACCCAAAATCAACAGACAGACTGCAGGAAGAGGATGACCTAAATCTCAAAAGAATAAAACTGCCAAAAGGGTTCCTAAGAGCTTGGGTTTCAGCACCCCTGAAGGGTCTCCACCAAGACTGGAACGCGGTGGGTTCGCTTGAACATCTGCAACACA